TTCATTTCAGACTGCAAAGCAACAAAATGTGATTATTTTAAAGGGGTGATTCTTTTTTTATACCCACTGTAGATGCAAGAAAGGCCATTTTGTTTGACACGGAGTGCTTGTCAAAAAGCAAATGGGTGGAATTAACTATAAAGCTATCCACAGATGTATACTAGAATTTAACAGGATGTAATAATATGAATGCAAAGGCTCAAAGTACATTTTTACCTGATATATTTTTTCCCCCCGCTCAATTCTTGGCTTTAACAACTTTATATATACTACAGTTTTTTTAAGGCACTTATGGTCACCAAGTCTTGTTCAAAAAACACAGTAAAACAGTAATATTATGAAATATTATTATAATTTAAAATTTCCAATTTAATATATTTTAAAATGTTATTTATTCCTGTGATGGCAAAGTTAAATTTTCAGTAGTCATTACTCCATTCTTCAGTGTCACATGATCCTTCATAAATCATTCCTATATGCTGATTTAGTGCTCAAGAAACATTATTATCAATGTTGAAAACAGTTGTGCTGCTTAATATTTTTGTAGAAACTGTGATACTTTTCAGATTATGTGTTGAATTTAAAATAATAATAATAATAATAAAAACTCTTGAATAGAAATCTTTTATAACATTATAAATGTATTTACTGTCAATTCATCTGAAATACACAATTGAGTTTAGAGTTACAGCGTGTTTATGTAAAAACAATTATGTTTATGAAGGCCAAAAGCAAAAATGGACAGTATGTGAGCCCTTCACAATCTTAAAAGAAAAAAGTAAAAAAAAGTCATGGGATAGTTTTAATATTTTTTGTGACTGTGGTGTTTATACATAAACCCAAGTAATAATTTAAAAAAAATCGAACAATATGAATTATAAATTAATTGTCTCTTTTACTTAGTGGAAAAGAGGAGGAAGTTTCTACAGGTTAGCAGAGCTGCAAACACTTAGCTGTGACCAAAAACAAAAAAAAAAGATGTTTGTTTGGAAACCAGTTACAATTTTAAAGTTAAATTTGTATTTCAATTTTAAGAATTAAATCATTTACCTGTTGAGAGTGTGCTGACAGTCTGTGTAGTTGGATCACTGAGCTCCATAAAATCAGTAATGAGGTGCTTTGACAGTTACAGATTTGAACAAAAGGGCGGGAACAAATAATCCTAAACCCTAACACAAAGAACCATTTCAGCATAAAAGGGTTCTTCAGAATGCGATGGTTCTAAATAAAACCATTACTGCATGTAAAGAACCATCTTTTTTTAGAGTGGGTCTCTATTCTGCACATTGTTTTAGGCCGATGAATACTGACTGAACCGAGTCACTGGAAAACAGCAATAAAACCAACAAAAGAAATGCTTTCCGGCAGAATCAGTGCAAAGAAAAGTTTGATTATGGTTCTAAATAAAACCATTACTACATGTAAAGAACTTTTAAAGAACCATCTTTTTTTAGAGTGTAGCAATATATATATATATACAGTATATATATATATATATATATATAATACTTTTCAGATTATGTGATGAATTTAAAATAATAATAATAATAATAAAAACTCTTGAATAGAAATCTTTTATAACATTATAAATGTATTTACTGTCAATTTTAAACAAATTAATGTGTCCTTGCTGTATAAACAAATCATTCTGACCTCGACAGTAGTATGTCTGGTAAATTCAAAATAATAAATATACTGTATATATAAAATAACATTTTTCATATTCTAATTTCGAGAGGCCGGAGGGCTATTGAGTTAAACATTATTACACCATTTAAAGATCAGGGGATAAAAGGTGGATAGAAAACCTGAAATATTTAAAAGGACATTACAGTAGGGGTGAGAAAGTAAGCTGGAGGAAAATGACTTTGTGTGAAGATGAATGTTTGGTTGAGGAAATGTTCCTGAGGACAAAATCCAGAGCCACAATTTGTGAATGCAAATTGAGAGACGGAGGGGGAAATCAGGAAAATGCCATAAAGTCAGAGCCTGCGGAACTGTTACACCTTGGGAATCTGTCTTGGTAATGATTTGATTGACACTACAGTATGCAACATATAATAGCGTGTAATTTGTATTTGATTACATTCTTTATGTTTGCCAAATCCCAGCTCAGCAGTAAAAGGCCACCTGTGTTTTACTCGATGATGGATTTAGTTCAGGCAACCATTCCTGTCCCACCTGGAATGGCCTGGAAGACTGTGCAGGTGGCACTCCGGCCCAATCCATCACAAAAAACCTTTTTTCTTTAATAAGTTAAATGTTGTTAAATTGCATTCTTAAGAATTACAAAAACAAGATTCCAACTTGTAAAAAACGTTCACGTCCTCGTAGAACTCCTAATTACAACTTGTGAACTGGGAGTTTTCTGAGAGCTACGACTTGTACCACGTGACCGCTGTACCACCTGACCACCGCAGGCTCTGTTTAGACGTTGATAGTGTTGCCATAGAAAAGCATAATTCCGAGTTCGAGGACGTGAACAGCTCCGAGTAGAACGTCACGTGCTGTCATCTCGAAATTTCGGTAATTACGATATGGCGTGAACGCAACATTAGTCCTGCTTCACAAAAAATAAGTACTATAGCAAACA